ATTCACAGGGTCATAATTATAATCATTTTCAGGTTGCTTATTTGATTTTGTCTTTAGTAGCTCACTTAAAAATCGTCTAATAATAAGGTCTTCCCCTCTCTTATTGGCCGATTTTTTACTATTATCTAGAGTCTTAGTCGCTTGAGACATAGTCTCCTGCAATGATTTAATAGAAGATTGTAAATCGGTGTTTTGTTGAGCTGTTTGAGGCTGTGAGGAAGCCATTGTAGTTTTTATCAAGTCCTCGATTTCATTTTTAGTCATCCCACCCCCTGATCTGTTAGTATCTGCATATGGATTGGCTGTCGGAAAAATAGGAAGAGAAGATGGTGCACTCTTTTGAGATAATGTAAATTTTTCTGCTTCGGCCAGAGCTTTGTAATATTATCCTGTGTATCATAAAATTTAGCCATCATTCGAATATTATATTGGTTCATAGGATTTAAGCCACGAATAAATTGCTCCCTTTGCTGTTCTGGAGTCATTTCAGCCAATTTACCAACCTTTTTGGTTCGGGCAGAAAACTGCTCAACTGACATATCACCTTGCATGAGCTGACCGAAAACTGCCGTCTGTTTTAAGTGTTCAACTGTCGTATAGGCAGTTCTAAATAAGTAAAGAAGTTGACCAAGTTTGATGCCAGGAGCAATTGTAACAACAGGTAAATTACCACCAGCATTAGGTGCCACTGGTGCATTATCTACAGGTTCGCCACCAGCTATGGACCAGTCTTCATCCCAAGTACCATTTGGAATAATATCAGCACCAGTTGCAATACCTGCACCAATTCTACCAATTTCTGCGGCCGCCTTACCTTGAAATTCTCCAGCAGTATTCAAAGCTCCAATTTGTCCACCACCATTTCCGGCAGCCAAACCTCTAACTGCAGTTAAAGTAGCTACTCCCAATTTGTCTGAGAGATTATTACATCTCCAATTTTACCCTTAACACGAGTATTGTACCAATTCAATGCATCGCCTGCAAGGCATGATACTACTAATCCAAATGCCTCTTCTCTTCCGGGAGCCTGACCTGCACCAGGTGCAACATTTATCCGACTAGCTATTATATATCTTTGCATGTCTCTAAGCCAATTTTCTGGATCTTCGCCAGGACGTCCATAAAATATTGGGGGTCCATATCCAACCATTCCTATCTGTTGTATATTAAGTGGATTATTCTGAAGCGCCAAAATTTGTCCTTGCAAATTTAAATTATTCTGGCGTTCTGCTTGGGTCTTATTTTTCCATTTCTCATATCGCTCATATAACCTGTCTTGATTAAATTCTAAAAGACCTATATCCCCTCTACTTAGCTGTAAGTGGTGGGCATTTCGCTGATACAATAATTGTAAGGCAAATTTTTCTTGTATCAGTACACCTATACGGGTTTGCTTTCTTGCTATATTAACTATCATTCTATTTACCTGGTTTTGAGCATTGGTCCGCAACTGATGGAGATCACCAATAACATTAGCCATCACACCTTCAGCAAGATCTCTTCACGTAATAGCAAGATCTCGCTCACCTTCTGCATCATAGCGCCTTCTTTGCTCACAGACTAAATCCTGATGCAAATTATTATATTTTTGACGTATCTGCCTTGTCGCCCTTTTTATTTGGTCTATTAGAATATCTCTGGTCATTGTCCTATTATTAAGATAACCATCTATAGCATTTGCTAGCTCTGTGATTGTGGCCATATTATCATCAGAATTATACAAGTCAGGAGAATTACCTCTTTCAGGTGAATTTTTTCGTGATAAGATAGTACTGATACGGCATAGCAATTTCTATACCTGCTCCTCGGAATCTACTAACAGACTCTCTATACTAGAAATATGTTTTTCATTATCACGAATATCCTTCTTAGCTTGATATAGTTGCTTTTTTAGGCTGGAGATTTCGAATTTTAGCTCTGCTATCTCCTCTTTAAAAGCATTCTCAAGACGTTCTATCTCACCGTTAAGAGTTTGGATTTCTTGTTCACAACGGACACATTCACGTTCCAGCTCCCTGATCTGCTTTTCATTTTGGCAGTTACTATCAACTTCTGCTTGCAATTCACTACGAAGATGGTAGTTCTCCTCCTCCAGCTCAGCTTTATATTCTTCACATGTTCTTCTCTGCCTTGGATGGGGCCTCCGAAATGCCATTCTTTTTTGTGATTATAAAAGAGAATCAGAAT